CAGAATGTCGTCTGGAGACACAGAATGTCGTCTGGAGACACAGAATGTCGTCTGGAGACACAGAATGTCGTCTGGAGACACAGAATGTCGTCTGGAGACACAGAATGTCGTCTGGAGACACAGAATGTCGTCTGGAGACACAGAATGCTGTCTGGAGTCCATTTTGCGGATCAGTCAGAGGCATCGCCCGAAATTTTATATTGAAGCGAGAATCTTAGTTTTTCACTGATTTAATATTCATGGATTTATATGTACTTGCAGTTTTCACAAGGTTACAAAATCGTAGAATAACGGAAGCACAGCTGTTTTTAAATTTTTTTTTTTAGTTTTTACCTGAATTGTGAGTTTCTGGAGTTCAACAGGAGCGGAGATCAACGTGCCCTTCATTTTTTTAAAGCGATAAATCGAACAGGACTATTGGGGCGTTGCAGCACGTGCTGGTCTCCAACAGGTGTCCACACCCAACCGAATCAAATCTGTTGCACCAGCACGTGTTGAATGGGTGTGGCGTTTTCGCGTGACAATTTGTGACAATTCGGCACCAAGTTCCAAGATTATAGGAAAGTTCAAATCATTGACTTTCGCGCCATGTAAAGGCGATTGAAGGACCGGAGGAAGTCCCCGAAGAAATAGCGATATAAGACTTGGACGTCAATTACCTATTTTTTTAAGACAACCTATTTTTCCTTCCTTCATTTTCAAAATATAATATTTGTACCACTGTGCTTTGGTGGGATCCGGTGAAAATGGAACGGGCTCCAGATTTCTCCAAGCCTTCCCTGCTAGCCGCATTCTCCCCTTCCGTTATCAATAATCCCTGTTCGAGAAGAAAAATAGAATCGTCTTCCGTGCGAAAGAATCATGGCCTCGTCCCGTCTCACGCCGACTTTGCCGGAAGCGGCAAACGAGCAAAAGCAGAAACCGCGCGGTTATCGCGAACCCGCCGAGAGCGAAAGAGGAACCGACCGAGAAGGGGGACGAGCGAGCCTCCACTTCCTCGGATACGGTATCAACCGCCCTCCATTCGGTAAGGGAGGTGCCCCTGGGACCATCGGCCTTTTTGCCCCCACGTAATGGCTTATCAAGGACCAGAGAAAGGCCTGAAGAAATAGCGATTCAAGACAAGGACTTTAATCCGTAACTTTTAGCATTAGAAGTACCAGGGCGATCATTTTGACCGCTATATTAAAAATCTAAAAAAAAATCATTATTCTGTAATATGTAATTGCTTTTTTTTTTCTCAAGTTGTTCATGTAATTGGATCGATCGGAAAGTTCTGACCGTTTCGAGAACATTCCATACAACCGAGTTTTTTTTTTAAAAAAAGCAAATAAGTTGATTCAACGAAGTAATCGCCATCGCAGCGAATCACCTTCCGCCAACGACCAGGCAGACTCCTGATTCCATCCCTGTGGAACCGAGCCGGCTGTGAGTGGAAAAAATGAGTCAGCCGGTTTTCGACCTCGGCGTCATCGTTGAACCATTTCTGAACCATTTCTGACGAAGATGGTCGTCCAGAGCGCGGAAGAGATGGCAATCGGTTGGCGCCAGATCTGGCCTATACGGAGGGCGAGGCAGAACCTCCCAGCCCAGACCCAGCAGTTTTGTGCTATCTTCGCGGCACGCGGCCTTGCGTTGTCGTGCAGGAATCGAAGGCGACGGTGGCCTCACCGAGTCTGTCGGCGAGCTTCTGCAGCCGATCGCAGTAGTAGGCGGCGGTGATGCCGGTATCGGGTGGGAACAGCTCGAAGTCGATCGCGCCTTGCACGCCCCACCGAATGCACGACGCGACTTTCCGGGGGTGCGGGTCGCCTTTCGGCTCCGGCTCTGGCTGGGCGTCGACCCAGTGGCGCCTGCGTCGGTAGGTGACGTAGGGGTTCACTAAATATTTTTCCTTCCTCCATTTTCAAAATATGATTTTTCTCCACGAATTTCTGACTTTTGTGTCACTGTGCAGGGGAAGGAACTGAGTTCGCGGATACGCCATGAAACTGTGAGTGAAGAATTTCTCCTGCAGATTCGATGATAAGAGGGAAGATGAAACCTTGTACTGTCCCGTGGCTCCTGCCCATTCAATGAGACAGACCACAAGGGGGGGAGGGGGGAGGGGGGGGGAGGGGGGAGGGGGGTGGGGGGCGGCACATTACGAAAGCTCGGCGGAACTCTTCGCGATCGAAGGTCGGGCGGAAACTTCGTCCGAAGCATGGACCGAGGTCAGGAAATGTCCCGGGGACGCACGAATCCCTCTTAATAGCCCCGTTTCAAAAGTCACGTCCCGTGTGGTCGCTCCATCTTGGGTCCCGTTTTTCTCTTTCAAAAGTCGGACGGGATCTTTTCTCTCGTCGATTGCCAAATTGCCTCCTTTTTGGAACGTTGATTTTTTT